ACGTTCAAACGGTTTTAGACCCTAGGTCTCTTTGGACAAATTCCGTTTCAGGACATTTGGAGTCGATTCAGCGATGTCCGTCCGTCCGTCTGTCTGGCTGACTGACTGGCGCACGATAACTCTCGAAGGGAATATTCGATTCGGCCCAATCTTGGAGCATCGTATTATTATTATCAAACTTAGATCGAGTTAGGAGATGGGCAATATCGATTAACTCCTTCTTGTACCTCCCCCACAAAAGGTCGAAATTTTCAAAGAAAATATTTTATTGCACAGAAAGAGAATTGATGATCTGAATTTGCTTCAACTTTGCAAACTCTAATATTTGCATCAGTGCTAGGTCAGTTGCGAAAATGGACAATATCGGTCCACTCTATCAAGTACCTGCACCACAAAGGGTCAATATTTTAAATAATTACATCTCTTATAAAAAAGTGATATAAGTGTCGGATTGCCTTCAAATGTCACACATCGCAGTATTTTTATTAACCCAGTGAATAGGTCCCGCTCCTTCTGGTACCTCCCCTACAAAGGGTTAAAATTTTGTATATCCAAGAAGCTCATAAAACTCGAAATAAATATCCGATTCCATTAAAACTTGCCACATCTCAATATTTCTATCAACACAAGATCTGGTATGAAAGTGGATGAATTTAAGTAGTCTAGTCCTTCGTGTACCTGCCCCGCAACGAGTCAAAATTTTAAGTAATCGTGAAGCTAAAACTCGGCATACCCAATATTTCTATCAAAAATGTGTGGTGCGAACCCCCTAAACTGGTAAAAATTTAGAATAACCGTGAAGCTCATAAAACGAGAAATAAACATTCAGTTCTCGTACAATTTCACATATATATATATATATATATATATATATATATATATATATATATATATATATATATATATATATATATATATATATATATATATATCTGCCCACCTCTTCTGGTACCTCCCCTACAAAGCATCACAATTTTCAATACTTATGTCTCTCTCTAAATATTTCTCTCAACCAGAGATCTAATGTGCATATGGAATTTTTCTGCCAATTCCTTCCGGTATCTCACCCAAAAAAGTTTAACATTTTCATTAACAATTATTTGCATAAAATTGGAAATAAATGTTTTTCTTTAATTTTTGCATATCCCAATATTTTCATCAGTTGAAGTGGAATACTTCGGTCCCCTATATCTGGTACCTATCACACATTTTCAATCATATAAAGTAGAGAAAGTAGTCTGTATAGTCCAAATCTGACATGTTGTAATATTTATATCTGATACGAAAAAGACAATATTGGCCAACCCCTTCGAAATCTCCGCCATAAGTATTTTGATTATCATAAGAGATGTAAAAATATATTCAAATAAACCGACAATATCTGAGGGCAAAACCGACTGATATCTTTTAACTTGCTTAAAATTATATCATTATATTTAACTTACTCTTAACACCCTGCCCCGCTATGAACAGTCAGCTATTTCTATGTTTTTTTTTTAACCAGCAACCTTAAGTTTATTTTCGGTGCAGTCGGTTATTTCTTATTTGGAAAGGTGAAAATAAGTTACTTTACCAAGCAAATTAGGGGCCAATAACTCCTTATTTTAAGTTTACTGCTAACGCAGAAGATATCTTGTTGTCATTATTTTATGCTTACTGTAGTGCATGAAACATATTGTTGTCATTACCTGTGGTGCGGAAAGTGGCTTATAGAGCTATTTTGGATTTTGATCTACTCTCGTCTTCTCATCAGACATTTTAATCTAATTTCATTATTCATTTATTCGCCAGCAACGGACAAAATCAAGTTGCATATCCAACAATGAAAAGTTCGTCGCAATTTAGTGAAACAAAAGTGAAAGCATGTGTTATGGGGGGTTTCTTCATTCGCAACAACTACGCCAACAACACTACAATGAAGCTGAGTTTCCTTCACATAATGTAGTAATTTGCGTTAAAGACCGAGGCGAGACAATAATTTTATTAGCCATTAGCTTTCTAAATTGTATCACAATTAGCTGTGCTAGAATATTAAATGTATGCATTTGATTACATTAAACATTGTCAAAACTGTTTTCTTGTAGCCGTGGGAGTTTTTTTCGGACAGCTGGCGCTAGAGCATTGTTTTATGTTTTAAATTCTTAAATTAAATTCCAAAAAAAAAGTTCGTACGTTTTAGTGGAGGGCTCTTTTAAATAATGTTAAAAAAAATTAGTAAAATACTATCAGTCAGTTTTTCCGACAGATTTATACTATCAGCCTTGAGTTATGATTATTCAAACTGTTGACCCTTTATGGGGGAGGTTCCGAAGTCAATGGCCAACATTGACCAATTCGTATCTGGCCTAAGACTGATAAAAATATTACAACGGGCCAGCTTTGGACTATATCGAATACTTCCTATGTTTTATATGAGATATGTGCAAATTTTTGAAAATGTGGAAATATGCGTGAGGTAAAAGATATAGCGAACTGAAGTATTCCATTTTCATACTTCATCTAATACAGATAAATATGTTGGTATTTGCAAATGTTGAAGTAAATAATAAATAAATTTCGATAAATTACATATGAGGTACCAGAAGGGGTTCGCAGATACATATCACCTTCAAACAGATCTTGTGTTAGCAAAAAATTTTGTACGAGTATGTGTGAATTTCACACCAAACCTTGGTTTAATGAAAATATTGTGATGTGGGTAATTTGTAAAGAACCGGATGCTTATTTTGGATTTTATGATAGTTTCGTTTATTCAAAACTTTGACCCTTTGTAGGGGAGGCACCAGAAGGAATGGCCCGAACTCTACCATCTTTATAACATATATTTTATTTATGGAAACATTGAGATGTGCCATGTCTGAGTAGAATCGGATATTAATTTCGTGTTTTATGATCTTAATGAATATTCAAAATTTTGACCATTTGTGGGGAAGTTACCAGAAGGAGTGGACAGATATATTCCATGTTTTTACCAGACCATAGGTTAATAAAAATATTGTGATACATCACATTTTATAAGAGTTATATTTATACAAAAAGAGTTATAGTTACTCAAATTTTTGACCCTTTGTGGGTGAGGTAATTGATACACTCCCGGTACACTCCCGGTATTATCCATTTTCGCACCTGAACTAGCTCCAAAATATTAGAATTTGCAAAGTTGGAGCAATTCGGATTATCCTACCTCTTTCTATGCAGTAAACTATATTCTCTGAAAACGCAGACATTTTGTAGGGGAGGTACCAGAAGGAGTGTTCGATATTGCACATCTCCGTACTCGATCTAAGTTTGACAATATTATTACGATGTACCAAGTTTGGATTAAATCGGATACTCTCTTCGAGAGTTATCGTGCGCACCAGCTAGCCAGACAGGCGAACGGACGGTCGGACATCGCTAGATCGACTCCAAATGTCCTGAAACAGATTTGGTCCACAGAAAACTAGAGTTTCAAATCTTTATTTCGATGAGGCACGTTTTGGCCGTATCAAAGGATATATACCCTCTCTAGTCATATGGCTGAGGGTATAAAAAAGTTAATTGAAATCAGTCGGTATTGCTGACAGCTGCATACTCTCACCTAATGTTCGGTTATTTAAATATATTTTCACACCCCCCCCCCCCCCCTTTCATGGGGGTGTGCCGATTTTAAAAGTGATAGGATGCTCATTTCCCGTTTTGATCCTTTGACCCAAATGTTGACCCTTTGTAGGGGAGGTACTAGAAGGAGTGGTCCTTTAAATCGGTTTTTCACTCCAGGTGGAATGAAATATAGAAATGTGCAAAATTTGAAGATAATCGGAGTCTTAGTAAAAATTTTATAAGCGTTATAATTATTCAAAACTTTTGTGGGGGGGGGGGTTACCGGAAGGAGTGGACCGATATATCCCAAGTTCACACCAGATCTTGCTTAAGTTAAAGTATTGGGATGTAGGAAATTTCAAAAGAATCGGATGCTCATTTCTCTTTTTACGAGCTTCATAGTTATTAAACTTTGTAAGGGAGGTACCAAAAGGAGTAGACCGATACATTCCATCTTTACACTAGACCTAGGGTTAATAAAAATATATGATCGGACAATCGGACACTTATATCACATTTTAAAGAGATTATAATTATTCAAAATTTTGACCCTTTGTAGGGGAGGAACCTGATGGAGTGGACCGACATTGTCCATTTTCGCACCTGACGCACTAATGCAAATATTAGGATTTGCAAAGTTGGAGCAAAATTGGATTATCTTTTATATCTCAGTGCAATATTTTTTTTTTTTTTTTTTGAAAATACGACCATTTGTGGTGGAGCTACTAGAAGGAGTGGACCGATATTGCCCATCTTCTAACACGGTCTAAGATTAACAATAATATTACGATGTACCAAGTTTGAACCAAATCTTATACTTCCTTCGAACCATATCGTGCGCACCAGCCAAACAGACAGACAGACGGACGGACACCGATAGATCGACTCCAAATATCCTGAATCGGATTTGGTCTAAAGAGACCTAGGATCTAAAACCGTTATTTAGATGAGGCACGTTTTGGCCGTAATTCTTTTATGGAAACTCCAGATACCATTAGGAACTCCAAATACCAAATTTCAAACAATTTCGTCGAAAAATATTACATAAATAATCAAAACACTGTATATCGTATGGGGGCTATACAAAAATGTGGGTCCACACAAATACTTTTTTGTCAGAGAATATTACACCTATAATTTCGGTGAAAAATGTGACACAAATTAACAAAATATCGAATATCAAAGGGACAATACTTAAACTTGGATCAATGTGGACAGTTCTTTTCAAAAATATTTTTATATACATAGACTGTCAGTTTGCAGCAAAATTCTTTCAAAATTATTGAAAGTTGTTAAATATTCCTTGGAGATTTCGTAAAAAACACTATAAGTTTTAGCCAAAGTCGAAAAGTTAAAAAAAAAATTGTATTTTTATAAATATAATTCTCAAATTTCTCACTTTCTCTGATTTCTTACAGGTTGAAACCAGTTGCGATATGTATCGTGCGGTTATGGAAGAAGTGGCGCGCTTCCTTGAACGTTATCAAAAACAGCGTCAAGTCCAACAAAAAGAACAACAGCAGCAATTGGATAACATGGAACAGATGTCACGTTCCAAGAGTCTATATCAAGTTAATACTACCAGTGGAAGCCATGACAAATCGCTGAAGTTAACTCCAGAAGATGAGGCTATAACATCATATTTGCGTGTACGGAGCAGCACGAATCTCATTGATTTGAAACAAATCGAATGCAAGAAAAACAAGTCATTAAATGCGACAACAGGTCGCCACAGCAAAGATGACCACAATTTTGAGACAAGTCTGGCACCATCGCAATCGTACAATGCCTTTAAGGATTTCACTTGGTAAGTTTGCGAAATTGATTTTATGGTTTAATTCTTGACCTAACCCATTGTCACTTAAAATTCGCAGGAGGCGTTCCCCCAAAAAAGCCCATGACTCCAAGGCCAATGGTGGTCGTGATGATGCCGACGAAAAACTTAGCCAGGAGGCCTTTAGGCTTTTGCGCACCATTCAAAATCTTTTGAATACATCACAACATCAAACGGAAATATTACATCCGCACCAGCACCAACACCACCATCAGCAGCAGATACAACGTGAATCATTGGCTCCTTGTGGTGGCGTGAATCGCATATCCAAAGCCATATCAACCACTTCAGTGGCCACATTGCCTGGTGCACCCATGCACAATTCGACCAGCCTTACCTTGGCCACAAATTGTGCAGCATCAACCACATCTGATTCATCAGCAACCTCGCCCACCATTGCCGCCACACCCAACACTCTTGCCCCGGATATGTTATTCTTGCGTTCCGCAAATATGCGTGATTCCCGCCTGTCATTGCGCAGTTCCACTGACAGTTCGGTACATTCCACCTCATCGGCAGCTTCATCAGCTTCTTCGAAAGTGGAAACCGATGAAGAGCCCACAACGCCATTTCATTCACCTTCGAACTTGCTAGGCCAACACAAGCCTCACATCATGGCTAGTTCTAGCACCGAAGATGAAAGCGGTTTCAGCTCAATAAGTTCATTTCCGGAAATTGGAGTGCCACATAGCTCGACCATGATTTCCACTAAGCCTCCACAAAAATGTCGAAACGCCAAAGGCAATGAATTGCGGCCCCAAAAGACGACGGGCAGTGACAGTCAACAACAACAACACTCCGCAGCCGATAATGGAAATTCAACGCTAAAAGCAAATGTTGTGGGTTTGCCTTTAAACTCCTCCCAGGACATGTCGCATCGTTGGGATACACCCTCCAAAACGTACCACAATGCCAGCACAAAATTTCAAAGATTTTCAGCTTTATCGAATAACGAAGATTCGAATACTGTTTTATGGGTTTGAGTTCGAATTTTAACACACTTTGTCCATTAATAGCAGATTCAATCGTGTTTCTGTTTCGTTGCTTAGTTTGTGCCTTTATCATGAATTATTTCGTATTATTTATTAATAATATTTGTGTGTGTATATGTATTATTTATAAGTTTCATTCGTTAACAAACAAAAATTCTGAAATGCAGCATTTAAAAAATCATTAAAGATTTTTCTGTGGAGAAAAATAATTAATCATTTTCAATATGATTATTAATTATTATTTTTTTTAATTTCTAGATATAAGTTTGGATGTATTATAATATAAATATTTGTGTGTTTTTCGCTTTCTTTTCATTAGAATATATAAAAAATAGTTGTATGAAGTGTTGAAAATTGAATGTTGTTTTATTTTTCCGCATGCTAAATCGCCTAACATAAATTCGGAACAATATGAGCATTTGGGGATTTGAATCTAAAAAGTGCAAATCGAATAATTTCTCTATATTAACTTGTTAACCTAACATTGATTTCTACGATAGCTCTTAAAAGATCTAAAGTAAGGGAAGATTGCCTCGTGTTGCGAAACCGAATGGAAATTACCGATACTTATTCGCTGTGTTGCACAGTGTTTTTATAAATTAAACAAATAATAAAGAAGCTAATTTAACCCGGAAGAAATTTTAACACCCTCCACCATTAGGCAGGAACCTTTACAAACTTAAATAAAAACCAGTAAGGAAAAGTCACAAGTCGGACGGGGCCGACTATATGATACCCTACACCACTATGCATATTTAGTAGAGTTCCCGTAACAAAAGAATTTATTTCAAGTAGATCATACCACCTATCAACATTTGGCTTTAGAGTAGTTATAGTTTGCTAATAAAAATACAATTCTGAATCAATTTTCGCTAAATTTAAGGAAGACATTTTTATCTTTTATACCAAATAACATTGTTATAGAGTGCATGATATCACTTCGAGTAGGATTATATTAAAAATATATATCGGAGCCGAGGTCCACAAAATAGAATCGTACTCCAGAAATTCACTCCATTTTGAGCTGATATTAGCCATTATTTGTACAATAAAACTGAAATCGGATTAAGGGTATATATGAAAGCTATATCCAAATCTTAGTCGATCTCGATAACATTTGGCAATGGTATTTCCGAGCTCTATAAGATATCTGGTACCGAATATCATTGTTGTCGAATGCATATTACGAATGTGAGGGACTTAAAAACCAAATCGAATGAAACATATATATAGGAGCTATGGCTATATCTGAACCGATTTTCACCAAATTTTATGTACTTGCCTCTAGACTGAATTCGTTCTGATGTGCAACAATGCAGGCCATTTGGACTGATATTGGCCATTTGGTGCACAATTAACCCGAAATCGGTTAAAGATATATATGGGAACTATATCCAAATCTGAACCGATCTTGATAAAATTTGGCAGAGGTATTTCTGGGCTGTAGCTGATATCTGGTACCAAATATCATAGTTGTCGAATGCATACTGCGACTGTAAGCGACTTAAAAACCAAATCGGATGAAACATATATATGGGAGCTATAGCTATATCTGAACCAATTTTCACCAAATTTGATGTACTTGCCTCTAGACTGAATTCGGTTAGATGTGCCAAAATTCTGGTAATTTGGACCTATATTGGCCATTTGGTGCACAATTAACCCGAAATCCTTTGAAGATGTATGTGGAAGCTATATGTAAATCTGATCCGATTATCACCAATTCCAATAGGGTTCGTTCCAGGGCCAAACAAATATTGTTTGGAAAATTTCATCTCAATCGGATAATAAATTCACAAGAATACATGGACGGACAGACGGACTGACATGCATAAATCGAATCAGAAAGTGATCCTATGAAGATCCTCAAAAGTAACTATGGCTCTATCTTTATACCAATTAGTGGACCTGAATCGAACGTTTTTTTTTTTTCAAGGAGACAGAAGAATATGGGCTTCGCTATATCGCCTTATATTTTTATTCTGATAAGGAATTTATATACTTTCTAACGTCTCCGAATATTTAGAGGTGTTACAACGAAATTGCAAATTTAATATACCCTCCATTGTATGGTGGAGAGTAAAATAATGAAAATGTGGACCTACTAAAAATGAAATGCGTACAGCTGTTTGTTTGACAATAGGGACCACAAATCAGGAGGTGCCGTTGTATAGAGGCTGAAACTAAACGTTCACCGATGCACTGCATTTTCAACAACATAAATGCATTAAATATATCTCTTTAATAGGGTGAGCTCTATCGTATAGCGAGTATATTTTAGGCTGTTCATGAAATTGCGAAGAAGTTTAGATTTGTTCGAATGGCTCGCCTTTGCCACGAATTATGGCTTTCAAACCAATGAAACCGTGACACGCTGCCCGAATTATTGTTCTGCGGTATTTTGGCCCATTCCCGGCGAAGCGCGTGATTGAGGTGATCGACACTTTGGTATTTTTTAGTGCCAACCTTGCTTTTCAAAATACTCCAGACACAATAGTCCAACGGATTGGTATCCGGAGATTTTGGTGGCACTGAAATTTGGGGGCGCTGAAAATGAAGCGAGGAACCTCATCTTGTAACCATTCTTGGGTGGCGCGTGCTGAGTCCTGTTGGAAAGTCCAAGGTCTGCGGGCAAAATGTTTGCGTGCCCAAGGCTTTAATACACCCTCCAGAATATTTTCTCGATAATATTCGGTGTTTATTCTGATGCCACGGTCGATTAATACGAGCGGAGAGCGATCATCGGCTGTTATGGCGGCCCACACCATCACCATGGCCGGCGCTTGAGTTCTGGTGACCAACCGAAGGTGCACGTTTTCAGCTGACCTCTTTGGCGAGTAAACACGATCATTTAGTTTATTTACAAACTGGCTTTACCACAAGCTCATTCTGAAGGTTGCAGTTTTTTCATCTCACCCTGTATCTTAACGTGTGGAAATTATAAATCGCAATCAAACGACTTTCCAAACATCGCGTACATCCACGAACTCATAACCAGTATCACAATACTTTTCAGAAAAGTAATAATAATAATAAAACACAATTATGAATACAGCAAATTTAAATTTTATTAACTGAATTATACACAGTTACCAATATTTATGTTCTTAATTTTGGGTATGGAAAATATAGTCTTAAAGTGACATTATGTTTTTTTTTTTCTGGGGGGATACATAAACAAATACAGATTTTATTTTAGCTAAAGATGTTGTTTGTTTTATTTTTAGCGAACATCAAATAATTTCAATTAACATAAAGAAGATTATATTATTTTTTAAATATATGACGAATATTATGGTTATAAAGTGGATGGTAATTGTATTATCTTCTGTTATTACTGATATTTATGGAGTAAAAATGTTATTGGTAGAATTTGAAATGAAACCTTTTTGGGGAAAAATCCCAATTATATATATAAAAAAAATTATGTACAATGCTAGAAAAGTCTTGTTAAATATAGAAATGCTCACATTTGAGCCATTTTTTTGTTCTGAAGATGCTCTTAATTACAAAACTTTTATATTTATGACAATCTAAATAATTAACATCCTTTTTACCGAACTGTAATTAGGACAATAAAAACCCCAAGCGAAAATCGGGTTTTCTATGTTATGGAATTTGGAATTAGGTTTGTGAAAATATATTAATATTGTGAGCTATCACAATTTCTACGAAATATATCTAACTATATATAAAACTATGACTCTCGTTCCAAATTTCTTTACGAAATAAAATTCACTTAAAACAATATATCGAAGACAATTTATGAAAGTCCTTTAAAATATCAAAGTGAAAGTAGTAGTTTTGTTGGTATTAATGGTAAAAACTTAATCTTGACTTAATTAAAACGTTTTAAAGATATTCTAGTACGATTCTAGTATTTAAAATACTTTAGGAAAGCAAAATCTTACAAGCATTATTTTCATAAAATAAAATTAATCATTTACATGGAAATCCTTGGGCTCTCAATCTTGCTTCGGATGAGCAAATTAAATTCTATTATTACGGGGGATTTGTTTGTCTTACTAATTTAAAGTGTCATGTAGAAAAGACACTGGGACGCCATTTTTAAAAAAGAATTTTAAAATATATTATAAAAGCTCAATAAGAATAGAACGAGTATTATTATGGTCAATAGAGACACCAAAAAAAGAGCCGTTCAAATGCGTCCAACACTGCTTATACTTGAGTTAATATTCTTGCGAGTCGGCTGCACAGACATCGGTGGTACTAAAACTTCTGAATGCGTTGAGGGTGAACTGCTACGCATGCCTGAGTTGTTATCATCATCAACAACTTCCTGTAATTAATATAAATAAAAATATTGATTTAGTTAAATTCATTGGTATTAAAAAAATAAATAAATTTATACAAAGCTAAAGTTAAATTGAAAACTAATTTGACAGAGCTTGAAGTTACAACTAATTTTTTTTTTTAATCTAAGGAATTTTCTACTGGTTTTGATATAACATCATTTATGTTAGTAAGGTTGATAGCATGTTAATCCTTTCAACGGCAATTCTTAAGTTGCAATATTTTTGGTTAACCTGGTTTACTACCGTCACTGCACCTGACGTTTATTGATTTTTAGGCAATACGATAGAAAATATTTATATACGCACATCATTTGTATTGTTCTTGAAAATACAAATGTCTTATCTGCTTTACAATCTGAAACATGGTGGAAATCCACGGTTCTCTTATAGACTTCCAAGGATTTATTAATGGATGAATATTGACTCTATGTTTAATCTCTCTTCATTTTATATTAATGAATAAAGGGATTCTATGGATTCTCTTACTAAATATTATTCTCAAAAAAAAAAAAAAAATCAGTAAAAAAAAATTCAAAAGTAGGGCGGGCCGACAATATGATACCCTACACCAATATCTCCCGTCTAGCTTTTGTACGTTTTGTAACAAACGTGCTTTATATTAGCAAAATTATTAAAAAAAAACATTTAATACAACCCCAATATATTCATATTTTTCCTACAAAAGCTACCTACAACTTGTTTTCTTAATGTTAACTGAACAACAATGTGTGCATCCCCCACGCATGTCTACATTCGTTGAAGTCTCATCAACGACTGAGATCACCGCAAACGTACTGTTTTGTGCATCTATGCCCTACACCACATTGCATATTTGGTATAGGTCCCGAACCAAAGAATTTATTTGAAGTAGATCATACCACCTATCAACATTTGGCTTAGAGCAGTTATATTTTGGTTTCAGAGGGAACTAATACATGAGAGGCATATCCAATTCTGAATCGATTTTCACTAAATTTGACGGCGACATTTTAATCTTTTATACCAAATAACATTGCTATAGAGTGCATGATATAACTTCGAGAAGGATTTTATTAAAAAAATATATATCGGAGTCGAGTTCCACAAAATGGAACGAAATTAACTCCATTTGGCCTGATATTGGTCATTTAGTGCACAATTAACTCGAAATCGGTTGAAGATATATATGGGAGCTATATCCAAATCTGAACCGATCTTCATAAAATTTGGCAGAGGTATATCTGAGCTCTATAAGAGGTATCATTGTTGTCGAATGGATATTACGAATGTGAGCGACTTAAACACAATATCGGATGAAACATATATATGGGAGCTATAGCTATATCTGAACCGATTTTCACTAAATGTGATGATGCCAAAATATAGGTCATTTGGACTGATATTGGCCATTTGCTGCGCAATTAACCCTAAATCGGTTGAAGAAATATATGGGAGCTATATCCAAATCTGAATCGATCTTCATACAATTTGGCAGAGGTATTTCTGGGCTGTATCTGATATCAAACATAATTCTTATGGGGTGCATATTACGAATGTGGGGGACTTAAACACCAAATCGGTTGAAACCTATATATGGGAGCTATAGCTATATCCGAACCGATTTTACTAAATTTTATGTAGTGGCTTCTAGACTGAATTCGGTTGGATGTGCCAAAATTCAGGTAATTTGGACTTATATTGGCCATTTGGTGCACTATTAACCCGAAATCGGTAGACGATGTATATGGGTTTATGAAATTTCATATGGTTTGGGAAATTTCATCTCAATCGTATAATAAATGCGTCCTGCATTTTGTTCACAAGAATAAATGGACAGACGGACTGACATGCATAAATCGACTCAGAATGTGATTCTATGAAGATCCTCAAAAGTAAATATGAGTCTATCTCGATTCCTTCTCCCTGTTACAAATAAATGCACAATGACATAATGCTTTTACCACTATGTGGTGTAGGGTATAATGAGCAGACTTCCAATTATAAAAATAAATCATAATAATCATAAAGAATTCATATACAAAAATATACCAAGTCCCATAAATATATTCTTATGTATGTTCATATTTTCACATTAGTAACGCATATGTTTCATCCAATTCCCAATAAAAAAAACAACTTCAATCCAAATTACTTAATTTAAATTGTTTTAATTTCTGCCTGTATTTGATCATTTTACCCTCATTTCGATACTTAATTTATTCAAAAACACTAAATATATATTCCAAAAAACACATTGAAGTACTTACATGAATATTTGTACAACTTGCCAAACGCATTTGTGCTAATTGAGAGGCGGGTGTCAAGGAATTTGTACTGCCAAACGGTGATGTCATCATTGTTGATACAGCGCGCTTCAATTTAGAAGGGGTTTTGTTGAATGAAAATGCGCGCCCGACCTAGGTAGAGTAAATAGTTTCTTTAATTTAGATGGATGGTTTACAGACACACATCAGTGGTTGTATCGAGAAAAACAAAAAATATATGTTAGCTTAAACAAACAACCACGTCAGCACACAATAACAAATAAAAAAAATAAACTCAAACAAACGAGAAAAATTCAAAATACAAATAGAAAACCGCATACTAATGAAAAAGAAAAACACAGAACAATTCAAACAGAAAAGAAGGACCTACCTTTAGACGGGTACGTGCCGCCAATTTAAATGCTTTAGACAGTGTGCTTAGGTTAACATCACTAATATCCACTTCCAATTCCTGAGAAGTCCGACATAGTAAGGCTTTATCCTAAAAATAAAAAAATCGGATAATTAATCATTTTTTCATTTCACAAGTCCTCCGTAACCTACCGTATCCGTACGACAGGCATTCTCTGCCATTTGCTTGCAAAGCGTTTTCAAGTACATGACTTTATCGATTTCCTCATCGGTAATGGTGAACGAATGCAATTTGTCTTTATCCTGGCGACAAAGCAAAGCAAATGCTCGCGGGCTATCAGTTATGTCGATGACAAAACGTATGGCATTTAAGGACATCAATTTGATGTGCTTATATGATTTTGCTGTGCTTGGAGATTTGGCACTATTGAAGCCACGTGAACGTTTCTTACACACTTCAATGGAATCGGAAAATAAGTACAATACCAAATGATCGCCACGGCCACTAAGTGAGTCGGTGAGTTCAGAGACTTCACAACGTGATATGAAATTACGATTAGAGCTAACTAGATGGGCCTAAAATAGATAAAAAATTATTTTCTCTGTAAGGGAACAAATGTTTAATTTATTCGTTTACTTACCGGACATCCTTCAATATCATTGAAAATATCAAATATGGCCATACGAGATTCTGTCTTTCTCTTATCCTCATTGATGTGCATCATCACGACACGAATGGCTTTTAGGGCCTCCTCCAGTCGTGCATAATCGGGATTATTTTTACTGGTATGTTTAAGTATGTCATTTAATAGAAGACTTATGCTGGGCAATCGCTGCACTGGTCTTATCATAAGATCCTGTAATGTTTGTCGTCCACATTCCGGTTTGGTTTGATTGATTTTCAAAAAAGCATGAAATCGCGGATTTTGTGTGTCACACTGTACCAGAGTCTCTTTCATTTGTTCAAAGAAATTAACATAGGGTGGATAGGCTTTGATCAGATCATCTTGATGTTGAAGTATAATGTCGCCGATCAAACAATCCTCACTCCATTTACTGTGTATGGCACGCAAACGTTCCAACATACTTTGATGCACTTCATGTATGGGAAGGAAGTTGCCAAAAATTGCTTTAATTTCCGATTTATTAAGCAGTGCATCACTGGATTCGGCAATTTCTTCCAGGGGATTTTTGAAGAGCTGTAAGATTGTTAAAATAAGTTTTATTGTCACTGAACCTTAATTCAATTCCGGTGTTATTGTTATACAAAGCTTAGGTAAAGAAATATACATTTAAAAACCTATTCCAATGGATTGTGATAAACCACGGACGTCTTTACATTGTTCTATTAATTTTATAACAAAGTCAACAAAGTCAAAAGCCATATTTTTGACATTTTTTTAATTTTATAGAATGAAAGCAAAGAATTTCGGAAACAGCATCAAATTTTAGAATACGTTTAGATTTGTTCGAATTGGTCACCGTTGACACGAATTATGGCCTTTAAAAGGCCAATGAAACCGTCACACGCTGACCGAATGTTACTTTGCGGTATTTTGGCCCATTCCCGGCGAAGCGCTTACTTGAGGTGATCGACACTTTGGTATTTTTTAGTGCCAACCTTGCTTTCAAAAATATTCCAGACACAATAGTCCAACGGATTGGTATCCGGAGATTTTGGTGGCCATTGTGCACTGGAAATTAAGCGGGAAACCTCATTTTGTAACCATGCTTGGGTGGCGCGTGCTGAGTGCGATGGTGCTGAGTCCTTTTGGAATGTCTAAGGTCTGCGGCCAAAATGTTTGCGTGGCCAAGGCTTCATTTTCGCGATAACATTCGACATTTATTTTGATATCACGGTGTATTATTAATACGAGCGGAGAGCGACCATCGGCTGTTATGGCGGCCAACACCATAACCCCCATAATGGAATGAGTATTATGCCCAATAACATCGGTTACAATTAGGTCCTACCCTAGTACGGGGTAGGCATTTTTAACGTTATTACGGCAAAGTATTTTTTCGTGGAGGAAATACTCGGTTGCCTGGTTATTCGACCTTACAGTTCGGATAGAAAATCCGACAAATGGGCTGATATTTCTTGTAGTTTCGTATAGTATTAGCAATAAAAATCATAAACTTGAGATTTTCTCCTCTAATATTTATATAACCTCTATAGGTTTTTTAGATAGCTGGCAATTTTCCAGGACTTATGATTTTCTCCTCTGAGTTATGTCGAACTTGATCATAGTTTGGCAAAAATATTAGGATGTTCCAAGTTTGGATAGAATCGGATATTACGTACGTATCAGCTGATATACCCTCTTAAGCAATAAGGATGAGGGTAGGAATAGATAATGTGCCGATGTTTTTATGGGGAATTCAAAAGGGAATACAAAAGAAATATACGAATTCCTTGTGTGAATTATATGATTATAAATATCAAAAAATTGGAAGACACGTGAAATGGGTGTTTTTCTGGCGAATTTACTTTCGAACCGTAATAGAGAAACAGGCCCTTAAATATATTTTCTTTAAATTTCTCAAAAGTGTAATTTTTTAGTCCGGTTCAAATGAGGTTTATACAATTTATGTAACTAACATTAAAACATAATTGTACAACAATACCAACGAAAAATAAATGTTTAACATGATCGAGGTTCCAATACTTACATTCACAATCGTATCCAAAATGCCAACATAATTTGATTCAGTACTAAAGAAATCCATAAAATGATTGAAACGCATGGACGCCTTCTTTCCCGGTGGTGTCTGTTGTTCACATGCCGATGTTTCTGGTTCCGTTAATATTGTACCATTTTCTAGTTTATTCGGTGTACCGCTACAATCAAAGAAACTACCCGATGCCGATAGCAGGCCAGCATCTGAGACCGATGAACGTCGTTTGGTCGAACCCAATGGTGTACCCTCCAATTGGATGCGTTGCGAAAAACGTTTGCGTTTACGTTTATTGAAACTAATGGGCAACGAATCGCGACGATCGGTATTGGGTGTATTGGCAATGCTATCCAAATACTAGGTAAAACAAATAATATTGTAATAATATTGTGGAGGGAATAACTTAATTTTACTTACATCACCGAACAGATAATCCATTTCATCGGCATATCCATTTTGTATGGTATACCAAAACCAGTCTGATTTTAGAATATGCGTACGATGATTTTTCGGCTCTGGCTTGGTTTGAGTACTATGCTCATCCACCACCTAAGACATTTTATAATATCAATTAGTTTATGGGTATTTAAATATCAATCTTGTACAATATTATTTGAAAATTTAATTTTCAACACAAAACACATATTAATGACCTTATGAATCTTCTTATATTCAAATAGTTCAATGATTCAATAACCAAAACCTATTGAAATTAGTGATAATCGGATCAGATTTAGATATAGCTCCCATATATCTTCAACCGATTTCGGGTTAATTGTGCACCAAATTGCCAATATAAGTCCAAAAGACCTGAATTTTGGTACATCCCACCGAATTCAATCTAGAAGCAAGTACATCAAATTTGAAGAAAAGAAAATCGGTTCAGATATTGCTATAGCTCCCCCTCCCCCACATGCGTAATATGCACTCCACAAGAATGATATTTGGTACCGGACATCAGATACTGCTCGAAAATACCATATTTTATCCAGTTCGGTTCCGTTTTGATTTCGAATTAATTGTGCACCAAATGGCCAATATCAGTTAAAAATTCCTAAATTTTGTTCCATCCGACCGAAGTTAGTCTAAAAGCAAGTACATCAAATTTGGAGAAAATCGGTTCAGATATAGCTTAGCTCCCATATATATATATTTCATCAGATTGGTTTTTTAAGTCCCTCACATTCGTAATATGCATTCGCCAACAATGATATTTGGTACCAGAAATACTATAGAGCTCGGAAATAACTTTGTCAAATTTTATCGACAACTGCTAAGATTTGGATATAGCTGCTATATATATCCTTAATCCGATTTCAGGCTTCTTGTACAAATAATGGCTAATATCACCCCAAATGGAGTGAATTTCGGGACGTACGTTTCCATTTTCTGGAACTCGGCTGCGATATATATTTCTTTAAAATAATCCTTCACGAAGTGATAAAATGTCTCTGTCAAATTTAGTGGAAATCGATTGAGAATTGGATATGCCTCCCATATATTAGATGCCTTTGAAACTAAGCTATAACTGCTCTAAAGCCAAATGTTAATGGGTTGTATGATCTATTTCAAATAAATTGTTTTGTTACGGGAACTCTACTAAATATGCATAGTGCATGCATGCATCATATTGTCGGCCCTGCCCGATCTTAATACCCAACAATTCCTAATGTATATCACTAAAATTCTCTACACGTTTGACCTTGTCCTTCATTTGTTTCTGTTTCACTGTTTTAGTCAACAAAAAAATGTTTTCATTCATAAATACTAGAATATTGTATATATATATAGATGCAGGTATATAAAAAAAATCGCTAATATGTGTTTTGTGTTGATCGTAAAAAATTCAAAATTAAAGATATTGAAAATTGTTTAAATAATGTTCTTATGTGAGAAAATAATTTTTGAAATGTTTGTTTATAAATGATTGTTTTAAAAATGTTTCGTTCAATTTAGCTTTAGCTGTTCACATGGTAATTGGTTAAGTGCTTTGCTAAATTTTGCAGCAACAACAACAAAAAAAGAAAGAAAGCGTGAAATACATGACTATATGATGATGACTGATTGTTATGACAATAAAAATGTGCAATAAACAAAACATAAAATAAAAATGAAAAATGAAAATAAAAAAAAAATTATATTTCGATTTGATCATGTTATTGTGTGCTCACCAATACACATTCTTTGATAGTATCCTTCTGATTTAGTGTGCAATTTGAAATACAATTGAAAGGGTAATTGAACATCAGAATTCACAACTATTTTACCGTACAATTCAACAAGCACATAAAATTATAATTTGATATTTTAATGCTTTAATAGATTGAACATTTAAAGAACAAAGAAATTCAGCAATTGTATTTAAAACATTTTTCAAACAATTTTCAATTAAACTACAATTTGTTAAAGATGGGGCAAAGAGATTGTGTAGGATGTCTTAATAAAATATGGAAAACATTTCAACTTCATTTCATTCAATTGTTTATTCATTTAATTTTGCCCATATTTCATCAAACGCAAATAATGTAATTTGCTTTGCATTTTTAACATTTACATTAAAAAAAATATTGTGTTTTAAAAATTACAAAATTTAAATATTTTATGGCCTTTGTTTTATACAACCAACTGAATTTGCTTGTTAAACCTTTTTAGTATTTTGTTTAAATTATAATTTACTGTGCTGTGTTGTCTTGGGATGCAAAAAAGGACTGTTACCCAACCACCATTTAAAGAAAAGATTATTTGATTAATTTTATTTACATAGGACCAAAAAAAAATAACACAAACACACATTCAATTTGTTTTTTGCAAGCGACAGTAACCAATAGATTATGATGTTGTTATGTAACTAGTGTAAATATTTTCGTTGGACAATAATGATGTTAAAAATGCGCTGCAAATTGCAAATATTTTTCCTGTAACTGGATCGAAAATTAAATCTGAAACGAAGAAAATTTAAATCCTCAATGTAGGCAATCTATTCACTGAGAACCCAAAAAATCTTATTAGGAGAATAGCAGTAGAGATGTTATGTTAACGTTTGAAATCTGTTGGTTTCCTCATGCGTAACATTATGATGACTTTTCATAATTTAGTACTATTTTGAACAAAAAAAAATATATATATACTGAGATGAAAAAACTGCTTCAGCTTCAGACTACTGTCATTTCAAAGCCACTCGTCCGACAGCTGTTAAAATTATTCCAGTGACAGTTCATTATATTGTTTACAAGCGTACAAGAGCATTTTCGAAAGAAACAGTTATTCGTGATGGCATTCAAGCGTGATAGTGTGATTTCTTAATATTTGGCTGGAAAACCACAAGTGGCTATCGTTAGAGAACTCCAGCACTTAAATGTTAATAAATTTTTTGTGTCTCGTACCATCGCTCGTTACCGTGATACTGGTAGCGTAGTCCGACGTCAAGGAAGTGGACGGGAGAAAACAGCAACATCAGCCGAAATGTTTCGAAAAGTAAAGAAGCGACTTGATCGAAACCCGCCTCGCAGTGACCGAAAAACGGCTCGTGAGCTGAACATATCGCAATATTCCATTCGCAAATATTGAAAAATGAGCTTGGGGTAAAGCCATTGAAATTCCAAAAAGTGCAAGAACTTACACCGCAACAGAAAGAAAATAGACTCAAAAGAGCTAAAAAGTTGCTTCGCTTGGCCGAAAATGGTGAAATGTCGAATTTGGTTTTCTCCGATGAGAAAAAATTCGTTGTCCAGCAGTTTGTAACCAAACAAAATGATCGTGTTTACTTGCCAAGGAGATCAGCTGAAAATGTGCACATTTGGTTGGCCACCAGAACTCAATCGTCGGACATTCAGGCAGCGTGTGACGGTTTCATTGGCCGTTTGAAGACCATAATTCCTGCCAAAGGTGACCAATTCGAACAAATCTAAACGTATTCTAAAATTTTATGCTACTTGCGAAATTTTTTGCTTTCATTCAATAAAATTTAAAAATTATAGCGTTTGTCTTTGTTGCAGTTTTTTTATCTCATCCTGTATATCATACCGATAACATTTTCTATTCTCTCAATAATTCCAAACAATTATTCCAATTTGGCAAACGATTTTAGTTAAAAAAGGGAGAATAATATTTTCAATTAAACATTAAATTTAACATTCAATTTTCAAAAGGATTTAATCTCTAAATGTTTTCCAAATTTTGTTTAAGACATTTCTCTTTGCTGCCCATTTACACTCTACGTTCGATATTAAAAAGAAAACAATGTAAATGAAAAACATATACCGAATTTAAAGCTGTTGTTGCAACGGGAGCAACAACATTTGCCTCCACATTTGATGTCATATGGTTTCCTGATTGCTGTATTTGCTTTTGTACAATTTCGTGGTGTAGAGTGGACGACGATGTTTGGTTACTTTGCATTAAAACATTGTTAGTAATAGAAGTATTAAAGTTATTTGCACCTAAGCCCATATTTTTACAATCAGCCGGTAGATTAGAGGAGGTATTCATTTTTTGTAAAAAGGAAGAATTTATTGTACCATTGGGACCGTCAATGGTCGTAAGATTTAATGATTTATTAGACAATTTAGAAGTTGATGCAGTTGCCGAGGCTGACAGAGATTGGCTAATGGATCTTGTTGTTGGTCTGGGTGCTGAGGCACAAGTGTATGCAAACTTGGTGGGTGCTTTGGGGGTCTTAAACTCTTCTTTATCGGTTTGTTGGTCACCATCCACCATGGCATTATCTTCTTCCGTGGCATTTGGTTTCTGATTATTACTAATCACATATTTTTCCCGACGACTGCTACTTCTTGTGATGCGATTACGCAGACTCCGTAGCTTCTCCTTAACTGGTTTCCTTATCGATTCATTGAATGTACTTTCAACGGATGCTATAGAACAAAATGAATCATTCGCATCGTTTTCATTATTGTCATCCACATTATTGTCCAAATCCTTGTCGGTAGGTGCCGAATCCAAGGCCACCGAACTGCGACGTGGCCTCAACATTTTCGCAATAGGGGTGCGTACAGCTACAAAACTCATAGAACGCTTTATGGTACGTGATATGGAACCAGTGCGTAATAACTTGGGTTTCTTGGTACTGGTCGGTAGGGCAAATGATTCCACAGACATTAGGGATATGCTATCGAGGCTTTCCCGTTTACGCTTCAATTCGCGTTGCGCTTCATCTAGTTCCGCGTCTAAATCTTCGGCATCCATTTCCATTGCAAAACATGTTTCTTCTGCTTGGGCTTTTATTAAGCTTTCCTCTTCTTGGGCGACTTTGTTACATATGGGTGAAATTGCGGAATTGTCTTGAAATTCATTAGACATTGTATCTGTTAAAATACTAAGTTTACGTTCCAGCTGCTTCGAGGGTAGAAGAGCTGAAATAGCTTTCGATGATTTGGGAGTACTGGCATGAGAATTAACATCTTTGTTTGGTGGCATAGCCATATCATCCTCAATATCATCTACCGTGTGTGGTATCAAATCATTAACCAAATCATCATCAAAGTCATTTTGTTTTAAATTGCACTCATAATCAACCACTAGACGTTCATCGAAGTGTCCCTCATCGTCATCATCCTCATTTCCATCGCTGTTGTCTTCTTGCCGTTCAGGACTTTCAAGAGACTTTTTATCATTTAATATTGGATTATTATTCTCGCACATTTCTATATTCTTTGATTCACCATTAGAAACAACACCACCACCACCAGCCTCAACTTCAACATCAACATCCATTTGATTGTCATCATTTTCATTTAAAGGATTTGCTTTTTTAGGAGTTTGGTTAGTTTGAATTTTTGATGAATTGTTAGTACTAAGATTATTCGGTTTGTTATTGTTAATAGTTTCAGGAAAGTAACCACCAGTATTAGGCATAACCTGTAAATTTAGAATATATATATTATATTTAAAAATATATTACGCACACACACACACAAACATATACATATGTACAAACATTTATAACATTATTGTGGTCTTTTGAGGCTTTCAATGTATATAGCCGCACAGTTTGTAAAATAAACTTACCACATGAGAACACTCTGGATCATCCAATTCTGCAGGAACACCACCATTACTTTTCAAAACATCTACCATATGCTGATGTTCATCGGCCGGAAACCCGAAGAAGCAAATTTTTTGTCCTTCGAAAGCTTTCAGTTTGTGTTCTTTGGAAAAATCTTCTGCAGTTGCTTTAAAGTGTGTTTCATTTCTACGCTCCCATGCAGCGTAAACCCAATGTGGACGCACCACTGTTAGACGAAAGGTTTTTGCATATCTGGAAGAAAATGAAAATTTTGTTAAAATGTACATATGTTGGAGCTCAATGGGATAATTTATTATCAAAACAAGTCTTCAGAAACTTTACAAGAGTACTTAGTAGCAGTTTTTAAATGCCAAGATGTACGACGAAAAATACTGGGAAAAAAACAATTATCAAATAAATCGCACTATTGAATTGGTATTTTATTGCTTATTTTTATTTATTCATTTTGAAGACAACCAAAATGGTCAAATAAAGCTAAGGTACAACAATACTACAAATTACAACAAAAAAATGACATGCTTTTTACTACTCCAATAATAATAAAATGAATTCAAATAAAAAATATATACATTTTTTTATTTTGAAATTACTCTTCGTCAAATCAAAATCTAAATACATATTAGCTGTTAAGAAGGATAAATATCCAGAAGCAGGCCAAGTAAGATTTTAAATAAATTTGTAAATGAAATGATTTTGGGTTTCACTGGTTTTCAATGCTTAATAACCTTCAAAATTGTTCAGTACTCTCTGGAAGAGAATATGGGAATCATCATAGGTCACTGTAACATAAGTTCAACGACTTGAACTTGAACGACGGCACCCAATTCTGCAGACTCCGTCAAGATGAGGAGGAAACTGAAACTGTCGAGCATTTACTTTGCCACTGTTCAACTCTCTTCGCTATGAGACAGTAGCTTATGTGGGAACACATTATGGACGATCTGTCTTCATTTTCCGACACTGAATCAGCATCCATTTTTCAGTTAGTCAGAAGACTAAAGTAGACGACATGCAGAAGCTAACCAATTTAGATGGCAATCGAAAAATATTTCCACTAACAGCGAATATTTTTAATCCTGCCCAAATCAAAAATACAAATACAATAAAATATGGCTAATAGCCATCGATATCGGATATGTAGCAATATAATACAATATGAATGTAAAATAAATAGACCTTTTTTATTCATAATTCTCATAAATTTGGAGTGGTCTCTGGCCAAAAAAGGAAAAATCTACAAAATCGCGTAAAATATGTCAATAAAAAGGCGACGATTTTTTTAATTTTTTTAAATTTTTGTCATATTTTTTATCACATGCGATTTTTTCAATTTGACTAACAATTTTGAATTGTACATTTTGTTATGTAGCAACAGCCTGCAACACTATGTGTTGAGTGTATTATATACAGGTCGCAATTATCGTCCGATCCTAATGAAATTTATCTAATTCTTCAATAAGTTGTAATTTTTGTTCATCTTTTTTTTTTTTTTTTGTTAATTTTTTAATAAGATTTTTAAGATTAAGGATGTTATGAATAGTTTAGAGTAGTCATGTATAGGAGTTCTTGGAACCGTCAATTAATTGTTAATTTTGTTCATTTTTTGTTAATTTGTTTTAGTGTTTAATTTTAAGTAAGTCTATTAGGATTAAGGATATTATAATTAATATAGAGTAGTCATGTATAGAAGTTTTTGGAACCGTCCATGGCCGTGTCGGATAGGTTTCTGTACAAATTGAAAATATTTTTTTTTTTTTTCGGACTGTCAAGCGAGCTCTCCTATGTTGTAGAGAGCGTTGGCGATCCTCAGGATACAAAAAGCCAGGTTGTAGAAAATAAATAAAAAAAAAAATTTGAATGGGGGTAGGTCAGAATTCAAGCCTTTTTTTTCAAGGTGTACATTTAGGGTTTCAAATGGACCAAAAAAATAAAATTTTCCTAATTTTGCAGTCGCTCCACAAGTCACAATTAAATAACAATCGACACGGAATTTTGCATGAGAAGAGAGTTAAGTGCAGAGAAGAAGTCTAGCATTTTAGATGACCATTGGATTATATTTAGATGTAGTGCGTAAATATTCTGGAAATGCCTACGGTCAAAAAGCTAAGCGTAGGGCTCTATGATATCATATCAAAAACGAAATCTTCCAAAATGGATTTCGACATAAGGGACCTGTAGAGTTTGTAGGGTATCACATGGTTAGTCCCGCACGACCATAGCTTCTGCTTACTTGTTTTTTTTTTTATATTTTCAGTTTCCCCCTTTTCTTTTTTATAATTTTAGAATGAACAAAATGTCACAAAACTACACAGACCTTCCTAACCAATTAAAAAAAATCATTGAATTCATTTTTATTTCGAATTCACTTTCGTATCATTATACATAAATGGAACTCCATGAACTCTAATACGTATTAGTTGCACTTACGTTTTAATTGATATTTAAGTCTAAGTTTTAAAGTCAATGCAAAAGATAACTACCAAGAACAGCTACCATTTATGTAAATGGAAATACCATATAAATACAGCATAGTTTTAGGCATTATTATTTTTTTAAACAAAATCGTGTTGTTCTATTCCATTTATAAAGAAATTGAGGTAAAAAAATTGTTAATACTTACTGATACTTATCACCACCACTGTGGGAACTAATTAAATGTGTTATTTTTGAATTCATATCCTTTCGTATACAACCGCCCATTGAATGTATCAAATTCACCAATTTTGTCTGAAACAATTAAAAATTAATACATTAATAGAAACAAAATTAACATTGTTGTCATTACACTCAAAAAATGGACATTTACAAAACTCACCAATTCATCTTTTTTGCGTATGCCAGTAAAACACGTAACCACACCACGCATGGAATAATTATAAATGGGACGTGCATTGTGTGTAAGACCATCTTTCATTTCGGCTGCCTGACGTAAAGCTGGAGGACCCAAAATACTGGAAAAAAAACATAACAAAAACAAATTATAAGTAAACAAAATATACAAATTATGGTGAATTTTTAATGAATTGCAATTGTAAATAGTCCTACTTATAAGTAATTACAAGAAAATCACAACAAATGACATGAATCAATTAACACCTCCTTTTGGCTGCCCATCATCTCACCCCACAACAGGGTAAGCACTATTATGATCATCAAAAGAAAAGTGTTATTGTTTTATACGTCTGACAAAAAAAAAAAAAAAAAAAAACGAATGAAAACAAAACAACCAAAACATACACGTCAATGAAAATCAAACAAAATTTGCCGCCGTCACTTAATGGCGGGGAGGGTGCGGTTGGAAAATGCTTCTTCTTTCTCTCTCTCTTTAAAACTTATTTTCATTCATAAACAAATAAATGTTCACATTTTCATATACATTCATATGTATATAATTGTATATGAAATTAAGGTAAGTGTTGATTTTAAACCACTTAGAGACAAATCTTTATTTAGCATAACAATTATATATAATATTTATTTTTCATGGGGGAAAGATTTTTTTACTCTGAAACCTATAATGTTTTTACCCACGAGAAACATACTGCTACACATACAACATACTATATTTCAGTGTATTGGTTTTTTAATTGGGTATTGGTTGCTATTCAATTACTTCAGGTAGGAAGTGCCGATATGGTGAGGCTATTTTAAATTGTAAAATAATTCAAAAAAAAAAAACAAGTTAAAAAGTATCAATTGGTTTTGGATCGGATTATTCAAATTGTTGGATTGGATTATTCAAATTGTTGACCCTCTATGGAGTAGGTTCCGAAGGAATGGGTCAATATTGACCATTTCGTATCGGACCTAAATAAAAATGATAACAATTTTCGAAGTGTAAAAAATTTGGACAATGTTCACTTTATAAGTGATATGTGATAATTTTTAGAAAATGTTAAAATGTACGTGAGGTACCAGATGTAGTCGACCGAAGCATTCCATTTTCATACTTCATCTAATACAAATAAATGTATTGAAAGGAAATCAAACATTTATATCCAATTTTATGCGAAATTATAAATTTCGTATTCATATCAGGTATCTGGTTGAGAGAAATTTCCAGATATAACAAGTTGTAAAGAATCGCTGACTTGTATCGCAAGCTATGATAAATAAAAGATTTGTTCCAGAAGATATATATCAACTACACAACAGATCTTGTGTTAGCCAAAATGTTTGAAATTTAAAGAGAGGAGAATGCTTATTTCGTTTTCTTTGATCGTTTTATTTTTCAAAATCTTCAACCCTATGTGGAGGAGGTACCAGAAGAAATGGTCCGATCTCTACCATCTTTATAACAGATCTAGCGTTGATAGAAATATTAAGAAGCACCAAGTCTGAACGGTGTCGGATGTTAATTTCGTGTTTTATGAGCTTCATGGCTGTTGCAAATTCTAACCCTTTGTGGGGGAGGTACCAGAAGGAGTGTACCGATATATCCCATCTTTACAGTAGATCTTGTGTTAGTAAAAATAAAGGGATATGTGAAATATAAAGTGAACTGGATGCTTTTTTCGGATATTGTAAACGTTTTTGTTATTCAAAATTTTGACCATTTATGAGTGAATTACCAGAATTAGTGGACCGATATTGTCCATCTCCGAACACGATCTAAGTTTCACAACAATATTACGATGTACCATGTTTGGACCAAATCTGATACTCCCATCGAGAGTTATCGTGCACAACAGCCAGACAGACGGATATCGCTAGATCGGCTCCAAATATCCTGACACAGATTTGGTCCAAAGATAACTGGGGTCTAAAAACATTATTTCGATGAGGCAAAATACATGGATAGAAGGACAGAAGGACTGACATGGAAAAATCGATTTAGAAAGTGATTCTATGAAGATCCTCAAAAGTAACTAGTAACTATCCCGCTTCCTTCTCCATATTACAAATAAATGCACAAAGACATAATACCCTTACCACTATGTGGTGTGGGGTATAAAAAAAATGGAATATCTCATAGAATACAAAGGGATTATTATAACCTGGAACTTTGCACAATATTTATAGTCACTTGGGCCAAGAGCTAAAATGAACAAATTACAATAATCGAACCTATCATAAGTCATACAATTTAACATCTCACATAAATTGGAACAAAATTATTTGAAGTGAAAACATGGGATGCATGGAATTACTACTTATGGTAATTACATCCCAAAAAAGCAGTCAAAATTTTAATAAGCCCTTAATCCCATTGCAGGCGATCCAAACTTCATATATCATAATATTTTCATGGAATTTAATTCAGGCCACAAAAAGTAAAAAACTCATGCATTTCTTCTTCAAAAGTTCCCCGAAAAATTTTTAATAGATCGAAAAATCCTGTTTCCGATTTGGTCGAAATTTAGTGCAAAAATATGTTTACATCAAACTTAATGGACAATAAACATTTACTACCTTTCTTTTGAATTCACTGTTTTCTTCTTTCTAATGATAAAACAAACCATTAAAAGGAAAACATAAAACCAAATCGAGCTCACAATACCCATTCCGAGAAACAGAAAAATGTGTTTCTAGTCATTTTATTATATACGCATTTCAAACACGATAAAATTAGTGGGATATGCATTGTAATTCTTTACAACATTTAAGAAAAAATTCCATTGTTATGTGTGGTTTACTTCTTATGGCTTGGTTTTATTTTTTTTCATACTTTGTTAGAAGAAATTTTTATCATTAAATAATCATAATTTTTTCGTTGGCAAATTTTGGAATATATCATAAATTTCAGTAATGAAAAAAATACATTCATGCTGTTGATATACATGTGTATAAATCTGTTTCTGTATGGGGGAGGCTTACAGTGGACACACGATAAGACAATTGTTAGAAAATTTTTAGTCCCGCAAGCAGGTTTGTAGAATGGTGTAGGCAAATCAGCCTCTTTCCGAGATGCAAGGTAATGACAAGAAAATTCCTTCCGCATTACAAGTATGCCAAAAAATAATGAGTTATTATTTTAAAATTTAAAAACAAAAAAAAATAATTTTTTTCCTCATCAAAGAATGAGTAATGAGTGGAAGATATACTAACACAGTTACAAATGTCATTGACATTTTAGAACATGTAAATACTTAATGAAGATCCTACTCATCCCTAATTTTGGCATGGTTATGTCATAGGAAGTGATAAGGCAATAAATAAGTTTTAAAACAGTTGCTTTGTTTTTAGACTACTAGAGTTGAATTTGTGTTAAATTTCACCACACCTATTTTTTGCTGGGTTTCTATTCGTAACAATGGCTGACATTGTGTTGAGCCCAACTAGTAATGAGAGGACCGTGATTTTAAACCCCCAATTGGCAAATAAAATTCCACTGAAGTGTTTTAAAATGTAACGATTGTTTTTTAAATTATTTATTGGCCGTTGGAGATAGTTTGGTAAGTACTTGCTTCCTCAGACATGTCCATTTTGAAATAAGGGATTAGTAAGCAGTCTATTGGTAATGAGATTCTTATTATATATAATTTTTTGTGAGGGAAGTACCAGAAGGACTGGACCGGCATATTCCAGCTTCACACCAAATCTTGCCATATGGCTATATATCTTGCCATATGGCTATATGAGTATATATCATTTGATACGGCCAAAACGTGCCTCATCCTAGGTCTCTTTGGACCAAATCCGTTTCAGAACATTTCGAGTCGATGTAACGATGTCCGCCCGTCCGTCTGTCTGGTGCGCACGATAAGGAGTATCCGATTTGATCCAAACTTGGTACATCGTAAGAGGTAGGATAATCCGATTTTGCTCCAACTTTACAAATCCTAATATTTGCATCAGTACTAGTTCAAGTGCTCTCTCTTATAAAATTTGATGTAAGTGTTTAATTGTCTTCAAATTACACACAACACAATATTTTTATTAACCCAAGGTCTGGTGTAAAGATGTAATATATCCGTCCACTCGTTCTGGTACCTTCCCCACAAAGGGTTAACGTTTTGAATATTCATAAAGCACAAAAAACACGAAATAAACATCCGATTCTATTCAGATTTGGCACATCTCAATATTTCTATCAACACAAGATATGTTATAAAAGATAAGCATCCGTTTCTCTTCAAATTACCACATCACAATATTAACATCCGATTTCATTCAGACTTGGTACATTTCAATCACAAGAAGATCTGTTATAAAGATGGAAGAGATCGGACCATTTCTTCTGGTACCTCCCCCACACAAGGCTCAAGATTTTAAAAACAAAATGCTCAAAGAAATTGAACCCACAAATTCCATACACCCAATAATTTTGCTAACGCAGAATCTGTTGTGAAGATGATATATATCTGCGAACCCATTCGGTATCTAACCTACAAAGAGTCACAATTTTCAATACTTTTATCTTCATAACTTGCAAAACAAGTCAGCTATTCTTTACAACTTGCTATACCTAAATATTTCTCTAAACCAGAAATCTGATATAAATATATAATTAATGGAAATTTACGATTTCTCATAAAAATGGATATAAATGTTCGATTTTCTTGTAATTTTGTCCATACTAGTACTTTTATTATTAAAAAGGAATACTTCGGTCCGCTATATCTAATACCTCACACATATTTCCAAATTTTCCAAAAATTTCCACATATTCCATATAAAGTATTGAAAGTAGTCGATATAGTCCAAATCCGGCATGTTTTAATATTTATATCAGCCTTAGGTCAGATACGAATTGTTCAATATTGGCTAAATTCGGAACTTAGGAACCTCTCCCATAAAGATTCAACAGTTTGAATAATTACAACTCATGGCTGGGGGTATACATCTGTCGGCAAAAACGACTGATACTATTTTACTTGTTTTACCTATAGCTCTTGAAATATCATCCTTTAAAAGTACGGCACTCATATATTCTTGTTGGAGCCATCACCCTCATTTGGAAATCCAACTCACCTCTATTGGCTAATTTCGACAATCGATCAGCAGTGGATGGACCACATTCACGCTCTTCCTGTCGGAGCTGAATTTGAATTTTTTCTTGATCTTGATTCGCCTAGAAGATTATAAAGTCTATCCTGTCAACCAGCAGCATCATCAGCATGATATCTACAAATCAGCTTTGGACTTTTTTGACTATCCAAGCGAGTATTCACTGTGACTTTGTAAAAACAACAACAACAAAATTGACAAAAATCAAACCATTATACAAACAATTCCACGACTAACTGACAGGGGGTTTGCTGATATCTACATGAAGACAAGACAGGCAAAGCAGAGCAATAAAAATACGATTGGCGCCAACAATGTACGATGCGAACATATATGTACCTCCAGTTTTCCTCACAATGACATAGATGACAAAAGCTAATTCAGAAAAAAAAACACACAGCCGATTATTTAGATTATTAAATTGAATACGCAGAAGGTCAATCAGTCTTATGTTTGACATTTAAAATATTTCAGAGAGTTTATGTGAAGGTAAAACTCGTCCTGACAAAGGAATAAACTTATGGGGAATTATGTTTTAAAAATAGATATTATCCTTAGCTGAATGAGACTAAACAAGAGATAGAGATAAGTAATCTTGTTTTAATTATTTTTATTGCACCTCACAAAGAATACGTCATGTTAATATTGCGGGTGCCCCCACAAATGATTGTTGATTACTTAATTATTCAAATGATTAAAAATAAACTGAACGTAAAAATAACTTGGGGACAATTTAGAAGCAATTTAGTAGATAAATGAACAAATAAATAAAAAATAAATAAACAGGTTTAATGTCTCAAAAAATGCGGGCTCCTGACGCTAAAATACTCAACCACATCATTTTTGGCATAAAATTTCGTAATACGAAACCCTCTGATCGGTATATTGACAGCACCCTTTGAAATGTTTTGCTTAAACAAGTGGCAAGTCAAATGAGACTCGTGAAGTTAAGATTGGTCGATTTCCAATATAAAGTTATATTTTTTAAAAAATATTACGGAAATGTATTCGGCCGTTACCACAATTTCTCAAAGCATTTCACTTCATCCAACAATGAAAAAAAGATGTGGTTGTTCAAAATTTGAAGAAAATCAAACATCTATAACCAAATTTTTGGGAAAAATCGTCAATCATAACTTTTACTTTTTTTGGGGAAGTACTAGAGGGAGTCAGCTGAAATATTTTATATTCACATCAGATCTTTGATTCGGAAAAATATGTAGATATACCAAGTTTCAAAGAATTGCCGACTTTGTTTCGCACATTATGAGAGATATAAGTATTGCAAACCCTGAACCTTTGTGGGAGACGTTCCAGATGGGATAGGCGAATATCTATCATTTTGACACCAGAAAATATCAAAATACATGAAATTTGAAGAGAATATGATGCTTATTTCGCATTTTATAAAACACAGGGTGAGATGATAAAACTGCAACCAACTTCAAACTACTGTTATTTCCGAGCCACTCGTCCGAAATCTGGTAAAATTATTCCGGTGACAGCTCATTATATTGTTTATAAGCAAAAGAATTGTGGCCACAATTTTCCGGAAAAAAGTAATTCGTTATGAAATTCAAGCGTGGTAGTGTGATTTCTTTATATTTGGCTGGAAAACCACAAATGGATATCGTTAAAGCACCCCAGCATTTAAATGTGAATAAATCTTTGTGTCTCGTTACCGTGATACTGGTAGCGTAGCCCGACGTCAAGGAAGTGGACGGAAGAAATCAGTAACATCAGCAGACATGGTTCGAAATGTAAAGAAGCGACTTGATCGAAACCCGCGTCGCAGTGGCCGAAAAATGGCTCGTGAGATGAACATATCGTAATATTCCATTCGGCAAATATGGAAAAATGAGCTCGGGGTAAAGCCATTGGAAATCCAAAAAGTGCAAGAACTTACACCGCAACGGAAAGAAAATAGACTCAAAAGAGCTTAAGAGTTGCTTCGCTTGGCCGAAGGTGGTGAACTGCCGAATTTAGTTTTCTCCGATGGGAAAACATTTATTTATTTATTTATATTCAATTAACACAGTTACCAAGCCCCTAGGGCCAAATTAAACATTAAAACAAATTAACAAAAATAAAAAATAACCATTGATTTAATAATAAGATGAATCAGCTATGCAAGAGAAATACAAAAACAAACAAGAAAATCATGAAAATTTTTAAACAATATGTTGGTTGAAGTGAGCATATAATTTACGCTTATAACATTTTAAGGAAGAATTGAATGTTTTAAGATTTGGCGGCAGATTGTTGAAAATACTAGCAATTCTAACATAGAAGGATTTTTCCAACAGAGGAGTCAAGCGTGGTATAAGGATTTGCGGGTTCCTTACAGATCTAGATCCAAACTGCCCAGCAGTTTGTAAACAAACAAAATGCAACATTTGGGCAGCGTGTGACGGTTTCATTGGCCGTTTGAAGGCCATAATTCGTGCCAAAGGTGACCTATTCGAACAAATCTAAACTTATTCTAAAATTTGATGATATTTCCGAAATTTTTTGCTTTCATTCAATAAAAAAAAATATATATATATAAATTATGGGGTTTGACTTTGTTGCAGTTTTTTTTATCTCAGCCTGTAAACTCGACTTTATGTTTTTTTTTAATTATAAAAAGCTTTATAAATACCAAATCAAAAGCTTTGCGTATATTTTATTAGTATAACTAAATGTCTAGACCGGACTTGAACAATAAGTGGAGACTAGCGGGTCGGTCCTAAAAATTACATCACTAAATTAATACGCTAATAACGTTATTATCCATAAAAGTGTGAATGTTAATTGCAGCAATGAAACGTTTAGAGACAATGGCGAATAACAAAAAACAAACACATCATTTGCATACAACATTATTTGGTTTTATAATAATTAAAAAAAGTAGATGGGAAAAAATAGCCCAGACACCAATTGAGCAAATATTTTTCAAAATCGAACTCATGACGAGAAGCATCAGTGGGGAGAAGATACCCACCTGTGTTACTTTTTGTTTTGTTTGCTAATGTTTACTTTGTGAGGGAGTAGCATTTAATTTGCATAAAATTTTATAAATTAAATTTTATTGTTTTATTGTTTTTTCTCGTTCTCTTTTGGAATTTTCACGTGATATATTTATCACCTTAATTATAATATTTTGCTTAGCAGCAATTCATACAATTGCTTATCAAAAAACAATGTGTAATAAATATTTCAAAACTTACCATTGTTTACTTTTGTGTATTGCCTCATACACAGGACCCTCGAAATCATTCAACACGAAATAGGTACGCCAGTCACAATCGTTAATAAGTTCCAGACCAGTTTCCGATGTTATGACCGGCACACCGAATGTGTGCGCAGCTTCGACGGCAGCATCATTTTGTATTACATCGCCGACAAGGCAAATGCGTAGATTTTCTGGCGATGGAGATGATGAAATTGACATTTCTGGAAAAATAAGGATAAAGTATATATTATTAGTCTTGCTAAAACATTTTTAAAGTTTTATTTAATTTTTTTTTTTTTGAATTATTAAATAACAATTATAAAACTTATTCAAAATGTATGTATAAGGGAATCTAACACCATCTGCAAGATTTGTACATACAGTATTGAAATTGTTTAATTTAAATTAATATAAAATATAATGGTTCAATGACTTATTACTCGATTGAAAACCATATTCAATATTAAGGAAAATATTCCCTCCCATACACCCTCGCACACAACGCACAGACCGAATGGATAAAGGAGAAAACAATAAACAACATTAGACTCTTTCAATAAAAATATTTAAAAAAACGGTGTGTGTGCGTGTAGCACATACAAAGCAATTTAGATTTTTATTATTGAATAAAATTGTTATAATCAGAAAATGTTTCAGTAGCACCAGGCGGCGGTAGTCAACACCAGCTGCAATTCTTAAAATTGTGTTCTATTGTTGCATGGCGTCTCAGTTGTTAGAGACGCAGAGAACATTTTGTCGTTAAAGCGGTGTCTTTCCAAATAATGTCAACAAGCGATTAAGGCGGCAGCAACCGCAGACAATCCATATGCATTTTCCACACGTGTTAACTCTACGTCTGGCTGCAATTTGTATGCTCTCCATTTTTTTGGATTTCTTTACAGCTGTTGTAACACACATACTTCCTTCGCCAAACCTTATCAGCTGCTTGTTTTCTCTAAGCTAATAGGAAATAGATAATTAGTTTAACATTATCCAAACATGTGTTACCTAATGGATATGTATACAGTATTAACAATATTTACAGATTAAAAAATTACATAAATATAACAAATATAAATAAAATCGGAGGTGAACTAGGTGTAAAACTTAAAAAAGAAACTTGCATACTGTATTTAATTTTTATACCCTCAAATTTTATATTTGATTCGGCCAAAATATGCCTCATCGAAATAATTCTCTTTGGACAAAATCCGTTTCACAACATTTGGTGTCGATCTAGGGTCTACGTCTCTTTGGACAAAATCCGTATCAGGACATTTTGGAGTCGATCTAGGGGTATCTGTCCGTCCGTCTGTCTAGCTGGCTGGTGCGCACGATAACTCTCGAAGGGAGTAGCCGATTTAGTCCAAACTTTGTCCATCGCAATATTATTGTCAAACTTAGATCGAGTTCGGAGATGGGTAACATCGGTCTTCTCCACAAAAGGTCAGAATTTTCGAAGAAAATAATTTACATCGTACATTATGTTAGCACTAGGTCAGGTGCGAAAATGGACAATACCGGCCAACTCCATCAAGTACCTCCCCCACAAAGGGTCAACATTTGGAATAATTATAATTCTTATAAAATGTGCTATAATAGTCCGGTTGTCTTCAAATTTCGCACATCCAAATATTTTTATCAACACAAGGTCTGGTGTGAAGACGGAATACATCAGACCACTCCTTCTGGTACCTTCCCCACAACGGGTCAAATATAAAATGTGAAACAAGTAAAAAAAGCTGTAAGTTCGGCCTGGCCGATCTGTGAATACCCTCCACCATTTGGAACGATTTTGGCAAATTTTCAAAAAAATAAAATCCGTTAAAAAAAAATAGTCGTTATATTAGGGTCTATACGACGGCGTGGACAAATTCAAATGCGAAACTTCAATAAAAAAATTCGTTGAATAATGTAGCTAAAATCATCAAAATTCCGAATATAGGGAGGTACAGACAATTTTCTGTTATAGGCTGTAATATCCATTACAAACTTCTAACACCAAATTTGAAACAATTCCGGTGAATAATGTCGCTAAAATCATTAAAATATATAAAAAAATATATATCGGGAGGTACCGTTATATGGGGGGATATACGAAAACGTGGACCTGCACAGACAATTTTCTCTCTCAGGCTGTAGTATTTATTACGAACTTCAAACACTAAATTTGAAACAATAATTTCGTGAATAATGTCGCAAAGATCATCAAAATACCGAATATCGAGAGGTACCGTTATATGGGAACTATACGAAGACGTGGACCTGCACAGACATTTTTCTGTCATAGGCTGTAGTACCCATTACGAACTTCAAATAACAAATTTGAAAAATTTCCGGTGAATAATGTCGCTTAAATCATTAAAATACCGAAAAAGGTAGGTAGCATCATATGGGGGTTATTCCAAAACGTGGACCTACATCACCCATTTTCAATACTGCAGACATAATACACATTTGAGTAAAATTTTATCAACCTACTTCATTTCGTTCGGAAGCTAGAGTGATTTCCACAGACGCTAAATCGACATAGTATCTTATGCTGATCGAGAAAATACAGGGTGAGATAAAAAAACTGCAACAAAGTCAAACGCCATAATTTTTACTTTTTTAAAATTTTATTGAAGAGAAGAAAAAAGGTCGGAAAGAGCATCAAATTTTAGGCACGAATTGTGGCCTTCAAACGGCCAATGAAATCACACTATCACGCTTGAATTCCACCACGAATAACTTTTTTCTGGAAAATTCTCACCAGAATGCTTTTGTACGCTTGTAAACAATATAATGAATATTAGAATAATTTTAAAAGGCTGTCGGACGAGTGGCTTAGAAATGACAACAGTCTGTAGTTGGTTGCAGTTTTTTCATCTCATCCTGTATACTTTGTAGGGTCTATTATGAATATTTCGATACGTTACAAACGGAGTGACAAAGCTAATATACCCTCCATAGAATGGTGGGGGTGGCGTATAAAAATTAAATCTAAACAGAAATCACCAAATAAATATCGGGAAAAAGAAGAACGGCTAAACTCTTTACCACTTGAATTCCAAAAATTTCTAAACAAATTAAGTAGATTTGATTGCTCATTTCTTCGGCGTTACACTTGATTGACAAGTACTATAATGTTCAATTTATAAGCAAAATAAACAATATTTCTTAGATACACACAAAAGCTTGAAATATAAATAAACATTTTTTTTTGAAAATATTCAAAAGAAAGCAAAAGTAGCATATGAAGAATATTCGCACAGCATACAATGTACCAAACAAGATGGATAGATAGATGGATAAGTATCAATGACGAAAGTAAAAGCTATGAGTGGAGGCGAGAAGCAACAACAAGAACAGCAATTTGCTATTAATCGAAAACAAATGGTGTGTAGTTGATTTAGAATACTTGAGGTAGTGAGTGTTCTCCTTCCGCTGCGCTCTTCCGTGGCGAGCATTTCCACAAACTCTGCATACTTTTCTTCATAGGTTCTTTCGTGTCTTCATACAACGCAAACAATTATTCACAGAAAAACAAAATCGTGAATTATGTCGTGTGCCAGTCAGCTAGCTGGCCGGCCAGCCTGCTGACCAGTGGCAGCTGAGTTGTTTGATTTGTTTTTCTATATTTCCTTAATTTTATTTATTTATTCGTTTTTTATTGAACTAGACAATTTTTAGTGACTAGAATTTATTTCAAAAGAAAAAGAAAATATTGTGTTTGTTTCTTAGTTCTTCCACAGGGAAAAAATGTAAAGGGAATACGTAGTTAGAAAAATCAATTGAATATTTTATCCTATTCAGCGGAAAGAACAAAAGCTACGTGATCCACATTTTTTATTACAGAATTGAAAGAAAATGCGACAACGTATGTAATATAATTTCCATTTACTTTCGAAAACAGCAAGGAGTGTAGATGTATGGTTAGTGTCTCACACGTTTCAATTTACTTTTGGCGGTCCGCATATGGCAAGCAAACGCGACTATTTCAATTAATTAACAAGTAATTCATTTACAACATGAAAAACAATTTAAAATGGGTTAATTGTTTGGCGGGAAAAATTAAAATTTTCTATTGTACGTCACGAGATGTTGTTTTTAGGCATGTATCATTTGATACGGCCAAACGTGCCTCATCGAAATGACGGTTTTAGGCCGTAGGTCTCTTTGGACCAAGTCCATTTCAGGATATTTGGAGTCGATCTAGCGATGTCCGTCCTTTTTCCGTCTGGTTGGCTGGTGAGCACGAAAACTCTCGAAGGGAGTAGCCGATTTGGTCCAAACTTGGTACATAGTAATATTATTATAAAATTTGGATCAAGTTCGAATATGGGCAATATCGGTCCACTCCCCCACCCCTTCAAAAGTTTCAAATTTTTAAAGAAAATAATTAATCTCATAGACAGAGAAAGGTTCATTCAATTTTGTGCAAACTTTGCAAATTGCAATACTTCTGCAAATGCTATGGCAGGTATCAAGTACCTCACCCACAAACATGTGTCAACATTTTGAATAACTCTAACTCTTATAAAATGTGATACAAGAGCCCGATTGTCTTCAAATTATGCACATCCCAATCATTTGACTAACATAAGGTCTGGTGTAAAGATGGAATACATCGGTCCACTCCTTCTGGTACCTCCGCCACAAAAGGTCAAAATTCTGAATATCCATGAAATTAACATCCGATTACATTCAGACTTGGCACATCTCATTATTTTTATCACCACAAGATCTGTTATAAAGATGGTAGAGGTCGGACCATTTTTTCCGGTACCTCCCCCATAAAGGGATAAATATTGTGGAAAACAACACGCTCGAAGAAAGTGAAATAAGCATCCAACTCTCTTCAAATTTCGCACACAACAAACATTTTTGCTAACACAAGGTCTGTCCTGAAGAACCCTACCTCACATTTTAACTTTTTCTAAAAATTATCACATATCTTCTTAATTAAAAGAAGTAGTCGATATAGTTCAAGCCTGGTACGTCGCAATACTTTAATCATATGTACAGGGTGAGATGAAAAAACTGCAACCAACTTCAGACCACTGTCATTTCTAAGCCACTCGTACATAAAGCTGTTAAAATTATTCCAGTGACAGCTCATTATGTTGTTTAAAAGCGTACAAAAGCATTTTGGTAAGAATTTTCTAGAAAAAAATTCAAGCGTGATAATGTGATTTTTTTATATTTGTGAATAAATCTTTTGTGTCTCGTATCATCGCTG